GGTTTTTTTACTTTTGGTAAGACCCTTTCGGCGAACCTCATTCATTAGCATTTGGCAAAGACCAAATCCGCGCCTAAAATTCATTCTAAGCTTCTCTTGACTCACGCAGTCGTGCGCATCAGTGTGGTTGTTTTTTAACAGTTATAAAGCATTGTGATATATAAATGTCTTATCTTTATACAGCAACATTGCTTAATTTTTCTACGAGATTGAGTGGCTGCTAAAATGCTGGCAACCCACACCAGTCCCGCTATATGTAGACACGTATATATATGTCTGTATATACACGTGTCTACGTACTGTATATATAACTAGGTATGGGCACATTAGGGGGCTCTTTATATATATATATATTCCTATAAAGAGCATACATAAAAACGATATTCAGGATTCAAATGTGATTCCATGAAAACTTTAACTTTTTATCTATTTGTAGAGTGGAAGGCACCTTTATTTAGTCTCTTCTTCTTGGGAAGCTTTTCCTGTTTTTTTTTTGTATTTAACTTTTATTGTTTGACAATAATGTAGTATACTACCTATATATTATATATATTTCAGGAGCAAAATACAGTATAAGGCTACTACTGTATATTGATCTCAAAAATTAACCAATACGTTAAAATGTACCACGGGCTATCGAATGAACGAGTTGATTTTTTACAGATCATCGGAAAATATTGTCTAAATTAAAAAAGTGGACAGACTCCTAAAATCTGTATTTGCTTAGTCTTCAAGTTCATGTATGCGTGGATAACTAAGTACAATTTGCGACGATGTTAAAAAGTTTTTCTATCCCAAAAATAGTTGTTTTTATCTAGTATTCGTTTACACGAATGAAATTGTATCAATAAGATTTCATTGACACTTTGTATCATTTAGATGTCAATCAACAGACCTCTCAACGCGATGTTGGGTGATACAACTGAAAAATTTAATGGCGGGCGAAGAAATGGCAAGCATTGTATATTTTGACCCTCTATTTTTTGGCCTGGCCGGTCAAATGTCGGCGCCTTACCCAATTAAATCTAGGCGGGATTTCAGACTACCGATTCATTCGCTGCCCACGAGCCCATCCATACAATGGGGCACCATGCAAAGCGGCTCATGTGTAATACAGCGCCCTTCACCTGTTTCGTTCTTTATACACGCATGACCTACGTTGCATAGCGAGGCACCAACAGCAATAGCAAGCAAATAGTCGTACAAATATCCAGATACCTCAACCTTTCGCGCCTTCTGCCCTTCTTGCTACGAACGGCTCGATTCCTAATATGCGCCCTTGTTTTGCTGTTGTGCCCTTCGTAAAGGATGATTGGTACATGGAGCATAAAAGCTAGCTTGATGGCGTAATGTGCCATTTTGACGGAGTTCAGAGGAATAGCGCACTCTGTTAGAACCTTTTAAAGGGTGTTACGATTTGAGGCATATTAAACCATAGGTGGTGGCGTAGCAGAGGAAAAGTAAGATTCACACTTGCATAATGACGCAAAATGCAGTTGAATAGATAGAGCAAACAGAGGGCAAATTCGGAAAGAATTGAAGGCATTGCAAAGTAAGGGATCGTGGAAAATGAAAAGAAATAAAAAGAAAAGATAGTTTACATGTCGAGCTGAGATGTAAAGTCTATTGACAATCGATTACAGGAAAAGAAAAGTAGGCGACATCTGGGAACCTTTTCAGGAAAAGGATTTCTCCAACGTCTACATCTTTTCGATCTCAACCTGCATCATGCTTTTGTGATTTTATCTGCGAAAACTAAATCATATCTAAATCTAATATTTCACTTTTTTGAAAAGGCGGGCAACTGTATAGGTAGCTGGCTGATAGGCACGTGTTTCTATATTGCTCCATTTTTTGCCTCTGACTTGTTCACCTTCTACACTACCCGTTGCTCCCTTGCTCTCAGGCCTTCCGAAATAGTACCCTACCGGTCGTAATGGCGCAGCTACAGCAGAAGCTGAGAGTAATACTCAGCACTTGACTTCGCGGGCTTCCTTGGAACCTGTAGGTGTCCTCGTAAGATTGGCGGCGGCGTTCGGTCTTCCTCTATAAGGCTGGTGGCCTTTTTAACGAGCCGCACCTCCGTTCTCGCCAGTAGCGCGACCGTGGTGTTGTGCAGACAACGAGTTGCGGCCGTGGCTACTCCTTTGCTATCAATAGCGGTCCGTTGATAAGCAAGACGGCTGGGTAGAGGACTGGCGAACAATGAAATAATATGCTCGCCAGGAAAGGAGAAAAGGGGCACGGGTACGGGGATGCGAGGGAATACGCACGCAAAAAAAGGAAAGAGGAGAGGACAAGTCAACTGCGTTAACTCAAACGCCATAAGTGACCTAGTTAATCGGCTGTTGGATAGCCATATGGCCAACCAAACACCATCGAGTATCCGAATTCGGTCCTGATAAGTTCCTTTACGCATGCAATACGATTTGCAGATTTTTGTGGCTAGGCTGTATTTTACGACTGGGCAACCCGTCTGTCAGTCGACAAACTTAGCGAACTGTCTCACAGCTTCTGCTACCGGGAAAGCGGTACGAGAAAGCTACTATTGCAACTGGAAGCATTTTTATTGCCAGACGAGCGGTCAAGCTAATGCTACAACGTCCATGCGATACATCAGAGAGAAGTCAAGAGCAACAACAATAGCAGCAATGATAGTGGATTCAGCTGTTCACAGCACGTGAAACCCCAAAGTCTGTGGGCTTTTGTTAGCAGACTAGTGATTTTAGGGATGCCCCGTTCAACGCGGCCAAATCCACCGTAGCACTACACAACTCAGACTGTAATAGGACTCAGACCACAGTCGGGTTGCTAGAATCTGTTTGGCCCTATGAAGGAGCGCGGAAGATAAGAAACTGAAGTTCTACGAATGCGTGGGCATTACTACAGATGCTGCACTCAGCGAAAGACAATGTTACACATAGGCACTTGGAGACAAGTATGTGGACGCATAAATACAAAGTGAAGTCTAAACTAGGGTCTAGCTAGCAACATCGTCTAGTAGCTACTCTAATTCTCTAGGCTACTTCGTGCTGCTAATACTACCGCTACTACTAGTACCTAGATGCATCAAGTTGAGACTCAGGAATCACCGCTAGGCATCATATTTGCAGGTAGACCTACTTCGAGTTAGTTCGACTATCACTGCTACAATTGTTCCTGTTGAGTGAATCCAAAAAACGGTTGTTCTAGTGTAGTTATAGCTTTCTTTTTGTCACCTCAACGTTATTTGCGTTTTCGAATACGGATAGCCGCCGTTATTCGATCGCTGCATTTTTGCGTTCCATACCCACGAGTTCTTCTTTTTTTCTAATCTCCAATGAGATACCACGTCACTCCTGAGCAAGTTCATAAAACTTCTACGGACTTTGTTGTATTTCTTATTTACGGTGTGTTTGCCTTGCCAGTTGGCACTGTTTCGAACCATTTGGACCCCTCAGGTTACTGGCCAATGCCACTGTTTTTTTTTACCTATTTTTCCGTTGCTGCTACCACTTCCGCTGTCTACAAGTTATACCGATGGCAGTCGTGCCTACCTAACCAGACTGCCTTATAGGCAATACGAAGCAATACAGGCAATGGAAGACAAGTTGGAAAAACGAAAGGTGACCTCGGCGGCCGGACCTTAGGTAAAGAAACATCAATGCGGCTATCGAACGAGCAATGGGTATGGGGTATACCTAGCACTCACTGACATGTGCAAGTGGCAGAGTGCCCGTGCAAAGGGAAAAAACCATGGCACCAATAGTGAGGGTGAACTGATTTGAAAATGGGTCGGCAAAGAATTGCCGAAAGAGGCAATTGGTTGCGAGTCGTTTCAATGGCGCTGGTATCGAGGAGTAATGTGCATGGCCATCGTGGCTGGTGGTGCTATGGGCAGAAATAGATATGATATGGTAAAGGGCTATGGTGACCGCCACTGCCGCCATTAACCAAAGGCGGGAAGCTTTTTGTTGCGTTATTGCCAGTCGATGCCCAAATCGTCAAACATACTAGAGCAGCGGCAAGTAAATTTTCGGTAATGGGAAAACTTGTAGACCTTCAATGTGTGCCAACGCAGCAAAAACAGCAACGACAGCAACGGCCAACGGCACAAAGAAGGAAGATTTCAATGTACTTGTAAAATTGAAAACTGACCGTGAGGAACGGAAAACTGGAAGACGGGGCCAGAATTGATACCTTGGCTGTAGAAGGGGGCACGGAAATGACGCGCAGCAATAGTACCACTTACCCATGCTTTTGTGCATTAGTATATGTCGGTATGTCAAGAAGCCTGATGGGCGAGAAGGTGCTGTAAGATGGCAGAGCGCGCCACCGATAAAATAGAGAGAACGTGAAGTAACCGGTACCCATTGATTATGCAGATAACATTGTCCCAACTCTACCTTTACAGATGTTCTGTCTTTCTTTCTATTGCTGGGCGGGAAACCGTCGAAAACGTGCGACCAGCTCTATCATAGGCTTGTCGTTCTTGCTATCTTATATACTCGATCGAAGCATGTCAATGCATCTGTTATGGCTTATCCTCCGAGCAATGGAACCCTACTGAACTTTGGAAATTATTTAAGTCAAATGGTTCAGCTTTAGAGTAGCACCTACCTTTGATAGAGTAAAAGAAGATAGACAATTTGCTAATAGCGATAAATGCATGCGAATCTAACAGGTAAACTAAGAGTATCGTATCCGTATAGAAAACTTTATGACAACAAGGCAATAGCCACAATTGCCACTATTGAAACTTTTATGCAACGAATAGAAGTTTAAAACGAAGCTTTTTTTTTTCAGTAAAACAGGTATCACTGAAACTTTCGTCCTCATCTATAGCAAATCCCTACATACGCCCATTATATGTTTGTGCAAATCGCTTACTCTTTCTACAATAGTAAAATTAGTCGTCTACAGATCATCTGTTTCTGTTACTCGCAAGTTGAAGCAAAATGCCAATTCGATCTATCAATATGGTATAAGAGTTTATTTCGCTCTATTTATGCTGTTTACAGTCTGCACATTGCTAGAAGAAGGGGTTGCCGCCGTCTTTGGGCCGCAGTCTACAGATGCGTCTTTTGCCGTGCGCTCAGCCTGCGAGACCCTGGACGTCCCACACATCGAGACTCACTGGGACTATCGTTCCCGAACTACCAATCACTCCCTTAACCTTTACCCTCACCCCTCCGCCCTAGGGAAGGCCTACCTCGATTTCATAAAATATAAGGACTGGAAGAATTTCGCCATTCTCTACGAAGAGAACGACGGTAAGTGCCTATCATGCATTACTAACAAGTAATCAAGAAATAGGTATATAACATTGTGTATTGTTCCGTAATTCTTCAGAAAGCGACTGCAGGCTGAATTTCCTATTCACTCCACAGCTTTTTCCCTTTACGACGGAATGTTAACTTTTGCTTGCTAACGATTTGTATGTTGCTATATTTTGAATAGTTTGCGATGTGTCACCAGTTAGGACAACAACAGTTTTCTCTCTCTCAACAGTAAATCTTACTAGGAAACAAGGAAATTCTCATTATCCACTTCGAGCTAGTTAACCCTCTTGTCCTTGTGGACCTACTAACTTATTAAACGCAGTCCCTTTTCTAGAAGTTCAACTTTCACTTTATCCTATCGAATAAGTAATGGTAACCTTGGCAATAACGGCTTAATAGTTAATTACACTATTTGTATTGCATCAGAACTTGTATTTATCAGGTAAATAGTGATGTTAAAAACGTGCCTATTCCTAGCATGCCTAAAGGTGGTAGGATGCTTAAAGGTTAAAGACAGTGGAACTACACCTGCGGGAAATATAGTGCGCCTAGAAAAAGCTATATATTAACCCGGCGTTCCTGTTGCTATGCGCTCAAAAAGCAACCTAATTTGGTATAATTTGCACTTTTAAATTAAGTATAAACCGATAGCAAAACTTCCGCTCTTGTTGGTTTTTACTGATTCGGATTAGTCTATTGATAGGATTGATATATATATATATATATATATACTGTCTCCTCAAATCGCGCCCCGTTGAAATCGCTACAACATGATGGATGCTAAAGATGGTAAGTAAAACGCTGCAAAACAGTTTGAAAAACCATGTCGAAATGAGCCAGGGCTCGTTGTCTGTCCATCGGCGTAAGTTGCAGCAATAGCAAAAGACGTTGCAGCTTGCGCTTCTTTCTATTTTCATAGCGATGAACCAGCCGGTCTCTTTTTCGTTTTGTTCTCATATTTGTGCGTTCGGCCAGGTTCAAGCTACCGAACGAATCAACAGACGATCCGAAAATAAAAAAACTATACAGGGACAAGAAAGTTCTCTGACAGAGAGTGAGCATCATGGAAATGTACAAATGCTCTACGAATCAAGGCGTCGTCTGCAAAGAAGCGAATTAAATGAAAAAAAAAAACGTGCATTCTCTCTAGTTTTGCGATATTTCTATTGCGTACGGTGTACATATGCTGTGCTATAGTGTGCGGGCAACGAAAACTTAAGAACCCTGTGAGAGTTTTGCCGGAAACGACACGGGACAACGACCTGGTCAAAGATAGCCCCGATGCTTTCCGTCCCAGCTGTCACGTTATGGTCGTCAAACGAGAAAAACGACGGTTGTCAGCTGGAACGCTAAGCAGGATGAAAACAAAAAACGGATTAAACGAACGAGGCAATGATTTAGAAAGTAGTTCTGCCCCATAGCCCCGCACCATCTATCAATTTTTTTCGCGACCTTTCCACCTTTAATGTTTCTTTCAGATCGCGCACTAGCACATAAACGCACAACAAAATAATAACTGAATACAGCTATTAGCTAGAAACAGCAGTTGCGCTATCTTCGCTTTCTCGAGAACGGCAAGCATACGTTGCACGCTCTTTTCCTGTATGTGTATGTGTCTCGCTTTCTCTCTATCTCTCACTCGCTTTTTATTTCTATCTCTAGCCATTTGTCGCTCTTTTTTGCTCCTACGAAGATTTCTGAAAGAAGATTGGAAATTTCGAAAGTACCGAGCTTCAGAAGCTCGCTAAAGCCTACGGAGATTTTTCACTGCCACTAAGAGATGGCAGAGTAATTGGCGTACGTCACTCGCCGGCACACAGTCTCCCTGACCTATTGCAGTATCGCTCAGAATCGGCCTCTTTCAATGATAAAAGCGTTTCATCAGACTACTGCTGCTTCCGGGGGTAATGTTACCGCTTATTAGGTGCGTGCTCAACAGGATAGGGCCGATTTCATACAACCTCCGAATTTGTTATCGCACAAAGCTCACCTTCTACTCCACAGTCTACTATTCAACTGAACGAGAGCAGACGTCTCTTTTCGAATCAAACTTTCCATATCTCCCTTTTTGTCTTCTAAGTCAAATCTAATTAAATTTTCAATTGCCTGTTAGCGTGCCTATTGAAACGGCGAGAGGGCTACAGAGACCCAGTCCCATTCATCAGAGCGTATGTTGTGTTTCGATCCTCCTCAGTTTTTGATTATTCAGCAGGTAGCACTCGACCAAAAAAAAACAATCAGTATTCAAACTAGTCGATAGCGGACTGTTTCCTATGCAGTTAACTGTGCAAACAGGTAGATAAATGAATAGACATAGATGTTCCATAGATTTCTTATACTATTATCGCTACGGGCTATACGCCTTCTATTCGCTATTATCTCGTGTAGTTTGTCTGTTTAGTACAATATATCAGGGTGGATACTCGAGGAACTTGTTCAAACTTAAAATCAACTAGGTAATCACAGCTGAATCTTTAGCCGTTTATGGATGATCCTGTAATGAGAAAAGAGTTTCATATTTGTTCTATGAACAAGCTAACATTCGCTGACCAATGCTTTCGCTTAATGCTTAGGAACACCGGAGGCAGCACTGAGCTGTTGGCCAAAGTGGTTTCTGTTGCGACCGAAAACGAAAGTCGTAAAGAAAAGCTCGAGGGCTAAACGTGAAGGCTGTGTTTAAAATTTATAGAGATTAAGCTTTGAGGTATTCGGGCAGCTCGTCCCTGCCGTTCCCCTCACGCTGGTTCTCAGACGAATCCCGACAGCATATTCTCTTCGTAGTCCAAGAGAGATAACCGGTGCTGAAAAACGGGAGTATTTACGTAACACTAAGTCTTCCACGTTACGCGCAGGATTGAATAGGTCTTCATTGCTGGAGAAGCTGTATCCTTCATAAATATCATTTTGCGTTAATCGTTCATGACTGAACGGTCCATATTCGAGGCAATGTTTCTGTCTCTCTCTTTCTCTCTCTCTCTCTCTCTGAATGAAGCAATAAGTGTAAAACATGGCATTGGAAACATGGAAAAATATCCGACTGGTAGAAGATTCATCGAAGAAGGCGAATTGCCATTAACATTAATTTGGGTCGACATCTAGGGTCAGTAAAGGCCGGCCATTCCAAGCGTGTCCCTGTCTAAATGAAGAACGGTGATCTGCATCCATTGACTTGATCCATTAACTATTACAACTCGTACAATAGTATATGTGTTATCAGACATCTGGAAGACTCCTTAAAAAACTATATCTAAGTTAATTAGAAAACGTATGGCTCGCACTGCGAAGACGAGTTCGTTCCGCGTCTATGGCTTCCGCGGCCAGCTATTTCGAATGGATCTGAACGTCTTAAACGAACACGGCAAGCGATATTCGGAAATTCAAGTTGAAATAATATGTACTATCTCAGCTTTCGAAATAGGGCGCATATAGAATATGTGAAATCAATATCATATGTGGATATAGAAATCATATGACTGTTACGTCGGCTAATGGGAATTTTTCAATTATGAGCTGTATGCCAAAGCGCTTCTGAAAAGACATAAACAACGTCTGTAGGGTAATGTGAACCCAAGCTCTGGACAAGGCCTATCTAGGCTAGACATGTCTCTCAAAGGTTACTACAAAATAATTATTCCTACTCCTAACTGGTATGCCGTAAGGCGGTAACTGAAACATGCACAAGCATGCTTTAAGTACGCCATCTATAAGGCTGCTATATGATAATAATTAAAACCAAAAAAATACCACCAACTTGATTTTGGTATTTTTTTCTTTCCTTAATAATACTTAGCAATATTTATTAAGCTATTCAATAGTTCTTTTGCAGCTTTTCGAACTGGCACACTCCTCACGACAGCTGCGTAATGTCGACTGAGATGAAGTCGGTTGTCATCAAAAACCATTTATCATAGCTCCCGTATCCTCTCTGTGTGCGAGCTTATGCTTGCTTACCGATTTTACTCGGCCGTTACTGCGGGCTCCATTGAGCACCCGCAGCAGCAGCAATGGTGGCGCTGGTTCATTCATAAACTCTATTTGCGAGACGCGAACACTCAACTTCTTCGAACGAAAATCCACTGGACCGCAAGGCACGCGAGGTAGTATTCGTATAACTCGGATGAATGCGATCGTGTAACCAGTGGCCAATCTGCCAACAAAGAAGCAATTCACTGCCATGGACAGATTAACCTACGATGTACAAAGTACCATAAACCAGGAATTACGATACATATGAAGGTTCCGGAACCAAGCGTAGTAGTGTCCAGGAAACCGAAACATGTGAGGTCATCCCAGCCAGGATCTGGTTAGAAGAAACAAGGAGTCCGGATATGGCCAAGCTTGTAGTCCTCTGGCTGAGTGACGTATTGAGCACAGGGCAGCAACTGTGATAACTCTGATGTTTCTTGTTGGTTACATTGTGCCATCTGTCTGTGTTGTAGGTTATCTATTTGATCCGGATCATAGACGAAGGAACACAACTTGCACCTATCCCGTAGCCAGCTGTTCTATGCAGCTGCCACTCTGCCTCAATGCTAGAATTGTCTCGTAGCAGCTGCGGCTTCTGTTTCCATCGTGTATCCAGCCACGCGGTCATGCGCCGAGGGAATAAGCGGAGTCCTAGTTTGCCAGCCTATGCTACCCAGCATGCTATGCTAGATACAGGAATGGTCCCTTTGTCGTAATACTGGTAGATTTAGGGGCACAAAAGCTTTAATGGTTGCCATCAGTAACCACAAATTTGTTTGTCTGCTATCGTATTTGTGGCAGTCACTCACTGCATTGAGGACCGTCTTGTCCGGTTTTCACTCCTTTTTCGTCCGTTTTCGAAGAACAGTGGCATAAGACAAGGCGAGTGAAGAAAACGATCTGTTTAGAGAGATGAACAGCAGGCGCAAGTCTATTAGCCTGCCTATTCCGATGGGCAAAGTATGCTGGTGATACAGACGCTCAACCACGAGAACCCTGGCTGGAGAACACCGGCTGCTGACGAT